CTGCTCCTCACCACCTCACCAAATTGGGTGCGAGTCTTGATTCTCTAATTCACCAACTGCTTTCGTGGTGATATCCCGGTGGGTGGGAAAATTGCTCACCTGGAGCGCGATATTGACGGCGCAAACGGCTGTACAACTGGATGAGCGCATTGTTGCAAAACCGCATAGTAAATCATTTACCTTTTTGTTGAAACTTAAATCGCGCACAGTACCGCACTAGCCTACTAAACTTATTCAGTAGTAACTACCTAATCAAAAGGAATTAACGAACAATTAATTACACTGAACCTAAAGACACTTCTCACATTTAAATATACCTCTACAAACACACCGCGAAACTATACCAAAAAACTTCACAGTCCTGCCTCTTGCACGGGTTGGATTAAAGTGGACGAGAAAGATCTTGGGATTCCTCAGAAAGGCCGCTAAAACAATTCTTGGCCTTCGTTCCGGAAACCGAAAAAACGATCTTATCAAAAAGCGATCTCCAATTACCTTCCGATTCGATCAGAGATACTATCTCTTTTCCTCCCAAGTATCCCACATCTGTCTAGCTCATTCCAATCTTTAACTTAAAGTGTTTTTCTTATTATTAAATTTCCGACGACAAGTAATCCTACTGGGAGATTATACTCAATCCCACGGATCAAATTTCATGCCACCTCAAATGAGAAAACTTACGCGCCTAGTAAGCGGATGAACAAATAATGAGTGAAATTTCATGCAGGGATAATTTACTCTTGATATGAGTTCACCAGTTGCATACAAGTGAACTGGGATAGTGCGTGTCGTTTCGAATAGTAACAGTGAACATTTGTAGCATTTGAACTTCATGCTACATTAATTTAATATCTAATTCGAATACCGCTACAGCATGGTATTTGAGGGTTTTCCTTGGTCACATTCTTGAATTTTTTGCGTGGCGTAATGATTATTCCAATGTAATTTTTGAATAGAATGCGTGCTGCGTTGGCCAAAGAAGACGGCATATTTTATTACGTTTAGCAATGATTTCGATACGTTGCATTTCCAGTGACTGGGGTGTTGGAATAATTCTTTAGAGAGAGTGAATGGTTTTCCCTTGTTTACTTCTATCCCGCATAAACAATAACCATAAGAAGCGCTTAACCAACAAATAGGTATACGTCCCTAACCTCGGTCTAATATGCAGCCATCGATTACGTTTTTAATCATAACTCATCAATGAATTTACCTGCAAACGATATTCTACTGCTAAATGGTATGCTTAGATATGCTTATCATGTCGTTTGCTATCAGAAACCACGAAAAGTTGAAAAACTTACTTTTTTTAAGACAATAACTCACGAGGGAAATGTATGTAATATGGGTCTATTGTCCCCAAATTGGGTCTATTTATGGATGCAACTTCGTCCTATCTTGTTTGATCCTCAAAAAAACGCTCTTGGTAACGTTTTCTGATGTATTTTTTTTATCACTATCACTGTTAACTTAATGCTCTTCATTCCTCAAAACATTTCTTAGAGAAAATTTTACGAAAACTACATTAAATCACTCAATTTAAAAATTAAAAATTAAAAATTTCGCTTATCGTCTTTTGACCGCAGAATATCTAAATCAGAACATTGTGATGTTCATTATACAGGTTTGGCAGAAAAAATCTCCCTTCCTGTTCGTTCCTTATCATCCAAATGCAAAACAACATTGTTGACGTTACTCTTATTGCTATATGCTGTCAAATGAATTTCATGGGCCATAGTTAGGAACATAGAAAAGAAATGTGTCCCTAAAGTTGGGTCCATGTTTTACTTGTGAAAACGTTGTTAAACAATTAAAATAAACATAAAATATTCAAACAGCAACTGTAAGTTTTACGTCTAGTGTGTATTATCAGGTAATTCCAATCAATAAATGCCATAATCAGGCCATTTGATGATCGTCAGTCAACCTTCCCATCTTAACCTTATAAGTCATGGCGGCTAAAAACTCCGAACATTGTGATATTCTCAACCAGTTTTATTACTTACGAGAGCTGAAAATGTATTGAAATGTTGTGATATAAATTGATTTGTGTGTGGTACACATTTATCAACCACCAGTGATCAATATTTTCCTTATTTTTTGTGTAATATTCCTTAATTAATTATTTATTTGCGTGATAGGCCGAATGAAAGGACTAGACCCACATTACATACCGTAACCCTATCGCAATATAATGATGATGACTTCGAGGATGATATCGTCCTCTTTCCTCGGCTGATCATCAACGTCCGCATTGACATCTATCATGCTGACACCTGTCAGTTATTGAGCCCAGGTGGTGACGTTGGCGGGGAACTCCCAACAGTTTCAATGTGCACTCACCAGATGGCACTGCGATCACATACGGGTGGTAATTATATGCCTTGTATGAGGAATTGATTAGTGGGATATCATGTTAATTAGATATCTTTGATGAAAGGGACCGTGAAAGAGGACGCTAAAATAGAAAGTTTTTCTTCCGACAGTTTCATCTTAGTATTCATCTTTGATATAACCGAGCGGAAACCCTTTCTTCTCTGGCATAAGTAGAATCTCTCTGGTAAGTAGAATTAGATATTTAAGTGCTAAATTATTGAAATAGAATTGAAGTAAAATAAAAATCGTAGAACAAACATGATAAAACAACGAAATTCCTGCATGCTTCAATCGATGGTTGCAAATCATATCCGAATACAATCCTACCGTATTAAACCAATAACCAGCATCGGATGCCTGTATTGGAATACATTTTACAAGGGGCTCTTTTCTATTTTTATTTGATTTTGTTGGTCACGTCTCCATATCAACATAACCTCATCGTGTTTTTTTTTTTCAATTTTATTTGAAAACTAGTAATTTTTATTTTGGGATCGACACATATCACAATAGTTTTTTAGGTTTTGAACAAGATTCATCAATTTGAATAGCATATTTACACGAACTAGCACTATAATTAAACAAATTTCCATGAAAATAATGAAATTTCCAAGGGCTGTCACTAGCTGATCACCGTCGGATAGTGCTTATTCCTGTCACCAGGCGCGCATTAGTTTAAGATGGATTCGTCAATAAGCAGGATTATTTGAAAATTTTCCATCTGTTTCCACATTAACAACCTTCCCGAATAAAAATAACAATTCTGTAAAAATTGTGACACATGTATCTTTATAAATATTCATCTAAAAATATTTTAATACTATTACCACCGAGAACTTCGGTCTGAAACTTGTGTAAAGATAAGTGGGAACATCGCCGTTACGTGGCGCTAGCATCTCCTGATTTCCTGTATAGTAGAAACCAAGTGAAATTTATGCGTCACCAGTGGCGGGAAATAGTACTAGTCGATGGTGATAAATTTATGACAACCGGTTCAAATTCCCGAGTTTGAATGATACATTATTGAAAAAAAAAAAGTTCAAAATAGTGAGATACGATCATTATTATGGATGATACATGTAAGACATTTGTTGAATAATGAAATGTTATGTTAATTTTCATTGCAATGTCATTGAAAGATAATGAAAAGGCGTTTTTTGATGCACCGATATTATTAAGGTTATATTTTGTATGATTGCAGATAACCATACCGAAATCGACGTCCAAGTCAGCCTGCTGGATATACTGGATTATGTTGGGGACTCCTTGCTAGTGGATTTAGAGACCTAGCATATTGTGTGCGTGGGCTATACCAGTATATCAGCAGCAAAGCAAGGATTGCGGAGAATGGGTTTGTGCTGCGAATTTCCCATCCCGAGGAGCGGCCACATCAAATAAGTCTAAAATTACCCCACGACAACAAACTTATATTCAACAAAGTCTGCTTAAACAAAATGATGGGAGCATATTCGCTCTTTCCCTGTTCCTATCTCCACTGCGCAAATGTTTTGCTCCCCGAGTTCGGAACCCGAAAGAGAGGAAATTTGTCCTCGTTGCATCTCGGGATAATGCAACGATCCTGCAACAACAAAGAAAATTTAAGCGGTAGAGCTTGCGTTTACGTAGTCTACTATTTTTCTGATTGCCAGCAATTATATCATTGAAGCCTTTTTCCATTTCGTAGAAGACCACTTTTCCTATGATTTGATAAGCTTTTTGATTACCAAAAATTACAGAAAAAGGCAGCCCAGTGGGAGGCGCGTAGGCAACATGTTATACAGTGACAGCGGGCCCAGCACAGCAAAATAAATGATTTGAGCCCGGGATATGCTGCCTACTGTCAAACGCTGCTGTTGGTACACAGCAAAAAAAAATGTAATATCGATCAATGTAATTCAAGCTGATGTATGAAACAATGATGTAATAGCAAAAAGCAGATACAATATTACATCAATGGATGTAATTTTGTTCGCAAAATCGATGTACATCGTACAACGTTATATTACACAACCGATGGATTGACCTGGTTGCAGCAGTTTGGATGTAATATTCAACAACTTTTTTTTCTGTGATATAGGCCTTGTCACTGGCCTGGAAAAAGGCGAATTTTCTATTTCAAAAGTGAAAACTCTTATGCAAGTCACGTTTGACAGCTGTTCACATTTTTTATCACCGCTACGACAACAGCGCCATGGGTGGCCGGTGGCTGGTTGGGTTTCACGATACCGCAGACTTATTTCTGACAGACCAGCAATCAATTTTGACAAACCCCTTCTCGAAAATCGGAAGATGAACAACAGAAAGATTTTCGAACATTATAATTTATTTTAGAAGTTTCAAATTTAAGTGAAAATTTACCAAATGGAACACATCCTAATATTAGTTTTCAGTGTATACAGGCCTTAAAATGGTTAAAAACGCAAGCAGCACCTGTAGTGGAGGGATCTGTAACCATTTTCTTAGTTTACGTACTCTGTCTCTGAATTTACCCTCTCGCATAGAACCATCACCATGGCCTACCTACCCGTTTGCGATCTACTACCATCTGCAATGTGATTGACAGTTCGAATCAGAAATAAACAGAACCGCGCACACAAAACGATGAGACACAAAACGCCAGTGATGACATAAGTTTGCACCCACCGTGTTTTGGCCGATTCGAAACAACGAACAGCAATCACTTACATTTTCATCAAATCGTGAAACAAATTCCACCGGCTGTGAGCAATGTCCTATCCCGACAAGGAAGCACGAGCGGTCTGCTGGGCAGCACGAGACGAATACTGGGCCTGCCTCGACAAATACGCCCCCAGTCACAATTCGACGTCGGGCGAGCCGGAACCCCAACAGTGCGTTGCCCTTCGGAAGCTGTACGAAAAGCGGTGCCCGTCTCAGTGGGTGAAACACTTCGACCGCAAGCGAACCTTCGAGCAGTTCAAGCAGAAAATGGCCAAAGGATACGAGCCGCTGGAGACAAAGAATCCCTAGCCGCACACAGTCATTACCAGTTACGGTTAGATTTATTTCACATTTTTTCAATCATACCGAGAGTGTACAGTTTGCGTTGTTCAAATAAATAAAATCCTATAAGCTTAAACAAAAACTAATTTACATTGACCAGGTTAGCTTCATCGATCTCGATTGAGACGATGTATCGTCCGGGAATCATCACCAATCCCAGCACCCGTTCTTCGCCTCCGTTCTCGGTGAATTCACTGGTCAGCCCTAGAATCACATTGGCGTCGGCATCGGTGCACACGAACATGCCTATCAATATCCGCCCATCGGTCATCTTTATCCGGAAGGTGTTATTCAGCCAGGATTTGAGCATCTTCCGACTGGGGTTGGTTTCCTGTGCGACTTCCTCTTTGTGGATGAACTTTTGCTCCTGGAACCGGGTGGACGCGGGACAGGTTGAGATGGGATACAAAATGTTAATTTTAATTTATTTACCTGAATCAGCTCCCAGAGCTCATCGCTGCTATCTTTTTCGTCACTGCTCATCGTTGGAGGTAATATGATTAACAAATTTTCGGAAACGTTAAAACAGACTGCCAAGTGAAAATTACTTTGTAAAATTAAAAATATCCTGTAAACAATTTTTTTCAACGCAGCTCTGAGAGATGTCAAAAAATCGGTAAATAAGAGCTATACTGGCGCCAAGCAACATGATAACGGTGGGATACGAAAGCTTGAAGCCTGAGCGCCAAATGGCAAGCAAGTGTTCGGGTTGAAATTCATTCTTTTTTTAAAATGACCGTTGATGTGGAACCACAGACAAAAGCAAAGAGAAATTCGGAGCGAAACCACAAGGTGTAGTTCGAATCTCTAAGGACCCGTTCAAATGTTACACAACGCAAAAATAGAGTTTTTAGTCTTAAGACACCAACAAGATTTATCGTGAAACCGTTGTTATATAAGCGTATGCGCACAACTTTTAAATAAAAATCGGCTGTTGGAAATTATTCCGATTTTCCGTTAGTCGGAAAACCGTAAGCAATCTCCGCTATACAATCCATATATGGATATTAGACTTATGCAAAATTTGAAATTTTCGCTTCACAGTGTTCAAACGGTTTCAAATCGGGTCCTGATTAACCTCCGAAAGTTTAAACTCATTTGATAAGAAACTGACATGGCACAAACCACTTGAAATTTATATGGAAATAACTATGGGAAAACAAAACTTTTTGTTCATTGTCTTATAGCCTTATTACACATTGTACTGTTAACAAATTCTTTTGCTATTCTTATGGGATTTTTATCATCCAAACGTCAAATATGTTCTGTCTACTGCTTGATTTAGTTTAAGACCACTTTCAATATAAAAGAAGAACACATCAGTTGCAGTTTGTATCTGAAGATAAACTGATCTTTATTCATTTGTTTGTGAGGAAGGTCTCCGAAGAGAGCAAGAGAGTGTTCTGTTCATTATAATGTGTTAGTGTTATACAGAGCGAACCGGTACACTACAGTCCTCCATCCTTCGACAAGATTCTTTACAGAATCTAATTTGTTACTATTTCATGCATACAAAAATTCTTACAACCGTAAAATTCAATTAACAATCGATTAATTCGACAGCACGTAATGCCTGAATACATTTTCTTCTTTTCACTAAATTCTTCGAAACAGCATGCCCAGAACCGTCTTGTTGATTTCGTTCCCTTATGCGCTCGGACCTTCTAATGCCTGTAATTGAACATTCAGAATTATGGTTAAACGTTCCATTTGCAGAACGGTTAGAAAGGGTTTCTTCAGGAAATCCATAAAAATCAGGTTCATCGTCATCTTCCCTACGTCGTTTATTGCTAAGTTTTACCATTGAGTTTCTAGTTGACGTTTTGATTTCATTCAAACGCAACTGATCTCGATGTGCTGATTTGATAATTCCGTTAATATAAATTTGAAAAACGTTAATCGATATTCTTTTTACAAACGTAGCATCCAACCAGCGTTCAGCATCTTTTGGGCGATGATTCCGATACCATAACTTGTCTCCTGGTTTCAAGTTATTGAACTTGTCGATTTGGGGAACCACCCGATCTAGTACAGGATTCGAATTTTCAATTGTATCCAGATGACGGGGAACTAAGTTCTGTTTATAACTGTTCTTAGGATTAATTAGATCCAAAAGAATCTTCGGTTTATAAGAAAACACATGTTCCGAAGGAAACGTACTAGTTTTGGTGAGACAACTGTTTCTGTAATTTATAAGGAAATAACACATTTGTTCTTCCACATCTGTAAACTTCATTCGAGAGTCTAACAGAAACTTTTTGAAAACTTCCTTTACTGTTCGTACAGTTCTCTCCGCCTGCCCGTTGCTTGCAGGGTGATATGGTGGACTTTTGAGATCAACTATTCCTTGTTTTTGCATAAAATTAACAAATTCAGACGCATTAAAAGGTGGTCCTCCATCGGTCACCAGAACATCAGGTAAACCGAATCTTGCAAAGATATTTAAAAACTTTTTAATAACTTTGTTTGTATCCGTACCGTACCTCATATACTCTAGTTCTACCCACTTTGAGAAGCTGTCAACGACTACCAAGAAAATCTTTTCCCCAAAATAGAAAAAGTCAGCATGCACTCTGCTGAACGGTCGACACGTCGGCGTCCACGAAGACTCCACTTTTTTCTTCGGTGTGACTAGTGTCTGACTACAAGCATTACAGCTTTTAACATAATGTTCAATGTCCGCATTTATGGCGAACCAGAACACAGTTCTGCGAGCGAGTTGCTTGATTTTCACAATACCATCGTGATTAGAGTGTAATAATTTTAGGGTTTTTTGTTGTAGTGACTTCGGCACAACTACTCTATTTTGAATAGCAGGCAACCAGAGTATATTTCAAGGTCATGTGATTGGGCTTTAACATCTTTTAGAGTTCTATCAACTCTATCTGGCCAACCTTTACGGAGATAATCTATAATCTGCAATAGTAGGCCATCTTTTTCAGTTTCTTCTGCTATGAGATGAAAATCCAAAGGAAGTTCTGTCGTAAAATTTAAACTATTTATGCATTCCCTGTCCAGGTTTCCAGGTACAGCACACGGTAAAGGAAAACGGGAGCAAAAATCTGCATTCCCCATTCTCCGAGAAGGTCGATATCTAATTTCAAAACTGGTTATGGATAACTCCATTATGAACCTTTGTAAGCGTGTGACGAATATGGAATGTTTACCTTCTTTTCCAAACACTCCTAGCAAGGGTTTATGATCAGTATAAATTACGAAATGTTGACCATATAAATATTTGTGGAATTTCTTCACACAACTTACAACCGCAAGTGCCTCCAAATGAAGTATTGGGTATTTCCTTTGCGCATCATTTAAAGTGAAAGAGGTAAAGTATATTGGTTTCTCTTGACCCTCAACATCATGTGCCAATACGCCACCTAACCCATAATTACACGCGTCTGTAACTACTATTAGTGGCTTTTTAGGATCAAAATATTCCAAAACACTAGGTGTCTGCAAAAATTTCTTACATTTGTCAAACCTTTCATTACATTCGACAGTCCAAATATACTTGGTGTCCTTTTTTAAAAGACTGTAAAAACAGCTCAGTTTTGTTGACAGGTTAGGTATAAACTTCCCATAAAAATTTATGAGTCCTAGGAAAGCTTTCAGTTCCGTTGGGTTTTTAGGTGGATTTGCGTTTGCAATTGTGTCAACTTTGTCTGGATTTGGCAACAAACCCTCACTGGTAATAACATGACCAAGAAAAGAAAGTTTGTCAACAAAAAACTTGCACTTACTAAGCTTTACTTTAATGTTTGCATCATTCAATCGTTCTAACACCTGATACAGCTTATTTTTACAATCCACCCAATTCTTGCCTGAAATCAAGACATCATCCAGATAGCACGAAACTCCTTCAATACCTTGAAGCACCTGATCCATGACCTGTTGGAATATGGCAGCAGATGAAGCTGCTCCTTGAGGAAGACGATTATAAAGGGTGATACGGTGAAAATTTGGTCAAGGGAAAACGCGTGTAAATCGGTGAAATCGTTTATTTAAAAAATCAAATTAAATTTCTTTTTCAAGTTCAATTAGTCTAAAATTCAGGAAAAATATTCAGTTAGGCTTCCGCTTTTCCAAATCCGAATTGCCGGGCCTTACGCTTGACCCCTGCCATCAGATTTTGTACAGCCACCTTGTCCACCTTCTTCGCCGCAGAAAGCCAGTTTGCCTTGAACTGCTGCTCGCCCTTAGCAGTTTTTTGGTCTTCTTTAGGTTCCGCTTGACAATAGCCCAGTATTTCTCAATTGGGCGGAGCTCTGGCGTGTTGGGAGGGTTCTTGTCCTTGGGAACCACCTGCACGTTGTTGGCGGCGTACCACTCCATGGCCTTTTTACCGTAATGGCAAGATGCCAAATCTGGCCAAAACAGTACGGAACAACCGTGTTTCTTCAGGAAAGGCAGCAGACGTTTATTCAAACACTCTTTCACGTAAATTTCTTGGTTGACAGTCCCGGAAGCTATGAAAATGCTGCTTTTCAAGCCACAGGTACAGATGGCTTGCCAAACCAGATATTTCTTTGCGAACTTTGACAGTTTCATGTGCTTGAAAACATCTGCTACCGTTCCCCTTCCTTTTGCCGTATAAAACTCCTGTCCCGGAATCTGCTTGTAGTCGGCTTTGACGTAGGTTTCGTCGTCCATTACCACGCAGTCAAACTTCGTCAGCATCGCCCAACAAACAATTGCCTATTGAAGAAACGACTTCTTGACGATTTTATTCCACTTCATGCTTAATAATACTTGTACTATTTTTAATAATAACTTCTGTTCAGGCTTTGTTCACACAAATCTGGAGAATTTATTCAACCACAATATCGAAAAATTTGGTGTTGAATAAGGTATGTCGAGAAGCTTTTATTCGACTTACAAGAGTTGTAACAGAGCTTATTCGATCAAATTTTTGATTATTCAGCGTTTATTAGACATCATTACTTCCTTAAACAGCGATGGTATAAAGGTGTACATAGACGCTTGATTCTCATGTGAAATAATGTTTAATAAGACACTATTATACATTTATATTAAACGATTATTCAACTACGGGATAATTAATCCGAAAATAAGAACGGCACAGAAGAGAGCAGGGGTTGTGTGTGTTCTCGTTAGTGATTGTTGTGTCATTTATTTCGCACGCACTCACCCAACACAAGATCTAGAAAATCTGTTACATACATACATACACACATATGTCGTTATATGGGATTCGAACCATGACCTTCCGATCACCAGCCGCTTGTCTTGCCATCTGAGCTATCCTAGATTACATCATATGGGCAGCTAAATAAGCAATAAAAGCTTGCATCTGAAAACCTATCAACACTTCCAGCCGTAACTCTAGCTAATTCAAAGAGATGTGAGAATGATTAATTCATTCAAAGTTGTTTAACATTAGACCAACGTTACCTCTCCATCTCTCTAATTTTGATGGAAAGGATGCTATTCTTTTCGATAGATCTATGAATTGGTTGTCCTGAGTGATACGATTTATGATTACGATTTAAATTAATTTGGCGTAGAAAATAAATAAAAAAAGGGTTGAGGCTGGGATTGAACTCACGACCTTTTTATTGGAAAGCGAAAACGGTAACCACTATGCTACCAATTTCGTTTTGTTGTTAGCCTGAAGCAGTGTTGTGGAATAATGAATCTAATACGTCGTTTATAAAGCATTTACAAAGCATTCAACTAAAACATGAACGCATAGTGGTATAAGAGCTATTTTGCTGACTGTATTCACCTATATTCAGCAATATTGTTAAGCAATGCAATGGAATCTAGTAATGGAGCTTGAAAACAATTATTAGACGTATAATAAAGCATGTTATTAAATCAATTGAAAACAGTCGAATTAAAGCGACAATGTATGTGCAAATTACACTCATTCAGCTTGTTATTAGATCAAACTTCTGGTTCTGAATCAGGAAGACAGTCAACGTTTATATAGCTTTTAATAAGTAAATTAATCATATCAGAGCAAACGGCGGAATAAAGGCGCATCTATCGATCTCAATGAGCTTTTTTCAGCACATAATTCGACATCCTGTTTTATTCAGCATTGTACACTGTTATACAGCATTTATTCAATGTGTATGCTTATTTGTGACTGTGAATTGTTTGTTGGGCGTCGTGTACAGCCTCCGGGATCGCGCTTTGGCCGTCGTATTTTGTTTATCATCGCGATTTGGAGTCACTACCTTCTTGTAAGTCGATAGTCCGGCTCGTTTTTTGGCTCGATGACGATACGTAGACGATACACCCAGCTTATTTGCGGCATCTCGGAGAGAGAGGTTAGGGTTTCGCTTGAAACTACCGGCAACTCTCTTTATCGTCTCAGCGGCTTCCGGTTTTCGATTTCCCCCCGATCCAGACTTCCTGGCTGTCGACAAACGTTCCCCAAACACTTTAATTACATTTGTAACGGTTGATTTGGCAACTTTTAGCGATTTTGCCAACTTTGCGTGCGAGTAGCTCGGATTTTCGCGATGCGCGAGCAAAATTTTGATACGCTGCTCTTCTTGCTTGGACGGCATTTTGACAACTGAAGAGTGAATTCCAAAATCAAAATAGGAGCAACATTCTACACACACACCTTCAAAATGAGGGGTGTTCAGGTTTTTTAAATGCAAAATTGAAAGAAATACGTCAAGTTGATATTGACCAAATTTTGACCGTATAACCCTTTACGTATAGAGACCTTTTATGGTATTAATTGTCATGAATCGTTTTGAGCTATCTGAAAGCTGCAATTGGGTATAAGCCCCAGCCAGATCTAGCGAACAGAAAACCTTACTTCCAGCTAATGTCGCAAAAATGTCCTGTGCTATAGGTAGTGGATATGTATTCGGAACAATCAATTTATTTATTGATACCTTACAATCCACTACAAGACGTATGTCGTTATCTTTTTTTACTATAGCTATAACAGGTGATGCCCATTCACTTGCTTTTATTGGCGTGATTATTCCACTATTCTCAAGTGAATTCAAATGATTGATGACCTTCTCTTTCATGCGCAATGGTACAGTGTAAGCTTTTTTAAAAACAGGGCGATCTTCTTTAAGAATAAGATCCGCCTCGAAACCAGAAATCGGATTTGAAAAATCTTTACTAAAAACCTTCTCAAACTTTTGTTTGATATCATCAAGTATCACTTCCTTCTCGTCATTGGATTTCACATTATTCACACAAGCAGAATCTAAGAATTGAGCCCTCCATCCTTGATAAAAAGCATCAAGCCAATCTCGGCCGATTAATGGTATAAAACTGTTACTTCCTTCTAACACTACTAGCATTACATTGCGCGTCACATTATTCAAAGAAACACACACGTTTATGTAACCTAATATGTTGAGTCTAGCTCCATTCACAACGGAAAGTTTCCGTTTACATGGCAACAGTGGTAGATCATTGAAATTTGTTAAATATTTTTGCTCACTCAAAACCGAAACAGCTGATCCGCTGTCTATTTCCATTCGAAAACCCCCTCCGTTAATAACAGTCATTACAAACACCGGTTCATTTACCTGTAATCCTGATGTAATAGACATACAGACCAGATCTTCATCCGAGTCACTCGCTACCGAACAGTCATCTCGCTTAAAGTTGTATCCTTTCTCCTCCTCGGTAACGCTGTTCACAAAACGAATGGATTGGCGCGATCGTTGCAGCTTGAAACACGTTTTCCTTACATGTCCACGTTGCTTGCAATAACTGCACAGCACATTCTTCCACCTTTGCTGCGAATTGGACCGACTGCGGCTACGATAATTGCTCCTATACTGATCGTTTCTGAATGCTGTTGGGTGTACTTCTCGCCGACCATTGTTCCTGGGTTGATCTCGACGACTGCGGGGACCGAGCCTTTCAATAGCGCTCACCCGCTCAGTAGGCTGCTCCAGTCTTTGAGTGCTTTTAGCTAATTGCTCCCTCGCAATCAAAATCCGTTCGGTCTCCTCAAGGCTTGGTTCTTCTTCCTCGATTAGCCTCTCCCGAACCTTCTTATCGTAAGCACCAAACACTAGGCGGTCACGAATGATATCGTTTTTCATCACACCAAAACCACAGTTCTCTGCGAGAAGTTTCACATCTAGGATGAAATCTTCTGCCGGTTCATCTCTTCTTTGGCATCTGTCGTAGAACATAGATTTTTGCACCATCTTTCCGTCTTTTTTATCAAACCGGTTCTTCAAACGAGTGATAATATCATCGTATTGAAGCGTATCTAAATTTACACCTGGATACAACTTTTTCAATTCCGTGAAAACCGCGGTACCACTAACAGTTATGAACAATGACTTCCGGTTAGCTTCAGGCACATTATTGTAATTAAACACGTACTGCAACCTTTCGGCATAATCGCTAAAAGGCGTGCCTGGTATGAAAGGTTCAACGGATCCAATAAAGGTTGACATTCTTCAACACGATCGTTTCACACTACTCACTAGCTTTCTTCTCACTTCTCACAGAGACGGGTCAGCATATGAAAATAACGAGCACCTACAGCGATCTCACTGGAACTCACTAGATAGCTGATTACAGTTACTGCTGTTTTTCTCACGGTTTGTGGTGTTGATGGTGACTTGCCCGATATTGTGGCTGAGCGAGGTGGCAATGCGGAGTAACGGAGCGGAGTGGCGGACGACGATTGCGTCTTAACGGATGAAACAATTTGGATCGATGACCTCAGTGATGGCTACTATTAACAATGACGCCAGAAAGTTCGAGTGATGGCCGATGTTAGCGTGATTTTCTTGTTGGCGTCGGTTTTCTATTGGGATTTTACAAATCTCTAGCCCGCAACAGTGGCCTTCAAGATTAAACTGTAGAACAACAAAATAGCATTAATTAAACTGAATTCACTACACACTTGTACGATATGTCTCACTGGATTAAAACAATCTAAGCAGTTTAAAATTTCACAGAAACTTACAGCGGCAGCCGTCAGAAGCCTAAGAAACGGATTTCCAGGTCTTACACAGCTCGATAAACGCTGCTTTTTTTAACAAATTATTCTGCTCACAGTGATACAACACTGATTTACAGCACTACACGCTTTTAATTATTGGTTCTAAATCCTCGTCGACACTGTTCTGTCTACTGCTTGATTTAGTTTAAGACCACTTTCAATATAAAAGAAGAACACATCAGTTGCAGTTTGTATCTGAAGATAAACTGATCTTTATTCATTTGTTTGTGAGGAAGGTCTCCGAAGAGAGCAAGAGAGTGTTCTGTTCATTATAATGTGTTAGTGTTATACAGAGCGAACCGGTACACTACAAAATAAAATAGTTATTAATTGTTTAAGAGATTGATAATCTTATGGCAAGATTAAGCAACTGTATTGTAGGCAACACTGTATTCTGCAGTGTGACATAGTAGCAATGATTTTTGTCCTCTATTCTACACGCCATAAACACCAATGTTGCCTGCTGAACAGTTGATTGAGCATAATCATAAGACATCAGTGACTTGAATCATTAATAACTTTTGTTCCTTACATTTGATCGAAAAATGATCTTCAACAAAGTAGTAGCTGAGAAAATTTTCAACAAGCTCAGCTATTATTTTCTAGTAGAGTGAACTGGTGAATTTTGAGATAGATATGAACCGAAATTATGGTTTCTCCATAGTCATTCCCATATAAACTTCAAATGGTTTGTGCCAAGTCAGTTTCTCACTTAATGAGTTCAAATTTTGAGAAGCTAATCAGGGCCCAATTTGGAGCCGTTTGAGCACTGTGAAGTGAAAATTTCAAATTTTGCATCAGTCTAATGGATATATGATACATCATTCATTCATTCGGATCATCGAAAACCTCATCGCATTAAAGTAGAAATCATATTCGTTTTATTTTCGACCATTTTTTTATACATAAAAAAGACAATCAGTAAGACTTAAAACAAAACTTTACAAGAAGCCGTCCCTTCAGACATTTGCGCAGCCCTCCGATGAGCCTACACTGGACGAGAAACGAGCGTTGAAGTCGTTCGTTGCATTCCTCATTTTCTTCTATTTTTCATTTTTTTTTATTTCGTTTTACACAAAACCCAACACTTGAAAAATAAGTTCCAGGTTCTGCGGTTCTGATGATTTGGAAACAACGGAAAATATATAAAAAAGGCACAATTTGAAATCTCTGGCTCCAATTTTCGTCACATTCGATAATTTTTGTTTTTGTGTACGAGACAGGCATCAGAAGCGACAACCAACAAGCAGCGATACAGAACGTGAGCAACTCACAAAATTGGGGGGAAAGTTCCGAGCGGAATCATCTGCTCAGACGTTCTGTATCTGTTTGGATTCCTGCTTGCAACCGCTGCCACCACCGCTGCCTCCGGTTATCTTGAACGACGATCGACAGGGGAGCTTCACTTGGAATTTCGTATTCGGCACCGACAGGCAGTAAGATTCGCTGGGTCGGGTATCGTACAGGGCCCGCTCGATGACTCCCAGGGCGGAGGTGGTCAACACTTCAGCGCTGTACTGGGTCGGTACGCCTTCCTCGTCGGAGATGGCTGAAAAGATGAATGTTTCAAATTAGACTTATCGATTGAGATGGTCTTCAATGTTCAAACTTACTGTATGGTATCGGTGCCTTGAATAATGCCTCGGCCGGGACTCCTCTCGAGTCCAGAGTTACCACACTGACACCGTACGGTCTCAGTTCCTTGCGTAGCGCATCGGCACAACCCTGCACAGCGTTTCGCGTCGCCGTAAATACCGTCAATCCGTCGTCTTCGTTGCCGGAACCAAGCAGTATCAATCGGCCACGGGTTGGGCGCAGCAGACCGATAAATGCCCTAGCCGTCCTTAAGCAGCCCATCACGTTGTTCTTGAACATGTTCTCCCACTGAAGCGAGTCCTGCGAATCGATCCGACCACGGTACACCGATCCAGCGGTGTTGATGACGGCCAAAATGCCCTGTTCGCCAGCGTTCAGGTGGATTCCCATGGCTTCGGCCGCCTCCCGCAGAATGTCCTCCCGGGTAACGTCGATCCGCAGTGGGACGACCGAGCCGGCGACCGGAGTTTCCGAATTTTCACGCATCTTCATCCAACCCTTCAGCAGCTTGGCCGGTAGGGATTCCACGGGATCTTTCATACCGGCAAACACCCGGTGGCCTTTGCTAGCGAAGAAGGTGCAGATCTGTCGAAGAGGAGAGGTACTGTTTGAGCAATTGAAATTGCGAAATCAAGCAGGAAGGAGGGTCTAACCTGTAATCCGAGTGCAGTGTCCGCGCACGTAACTAAGATCGAGCCCCTCTGCGGACCGTGGCCATCGTCCTGGGTTGCACGGACCTTACACAGCAGGTAGAGTAGTAGAGCGCCGGCGATCGAAAACAGCGCTATCAGTTGGATCGTTAGCACCAGTGCCGTCTGGGCCTCCATGCTGGGCCAGCGGTTGAACCTGCGGGATTGGAAGGAGAAGATCAAGAAGGGGATACATTAGTGTTTGAGCGTATGTGAAAGAGAGCTGTAAACCGTTTTGTGGGCATCTCAAAATTTCGACTGTAAGCATTAGGGTGATGTAATATTTGAAATTTTTGTTCCACAGCGCTCAAACGGTTTCAAATCTGATCCTGATAAGCCTCCCTATATTTTAACTCATTTGGTAAGAAACTGACTTGGCGCAAAGCATTTGAATTTATATGGAATTTACTATGGGATAACCAATCTTTTTGTTCGAAAGGGACGTTGAACCGTTGGTCCCCGGTTAATCGACCCATTAGATAGGTAGGGTCCAGGTGTGAGAGCTGCCTCCCTGGCGTCGGTAGCATTGGTACCGAGTACGGAAAATAAGCTCGACGGAAAACAAATCAAGGAAAAAAAAGAAAAGGAGTGCTCGAGCCCCCATGACTCTACACTGAAAAAAGTGTTCACTTAGTTTCTATTAGGAACGCACATAGTATTTTTCCAAAAACAAAAACAATGATTTTTACCTGAATATCACATAGCATTAGAAATTCTATATGAGAAATCATATAGATTTCATTGGACACATAACGTTCATGTGATTTAGGAGTGCAATTCATGATCATGATCATGATCACATGAAAGTTATGTGAAATTCACATGGATATTTTCCACTGGTTATGTGATTTATTTTATGAGTGTATCAAAGTTTGTTTGCATACATGTTTCGCCAAAGTATGTTTTACTGCAATGGATCAAAGAAAATGCTGAGGTTTTGACAGAACTGTGCTGTGGCTACCACAGTATTTTACATTTGATCGTCCATATACAGTAGCGCCAAAAGCATGCTGTGGTGGGTTTAAAACTTGACTATCTAAATTGATCAATTGTAAATTCAGCTGAGTCATAAGAACTGTGCTGGTTTTCATACGCCTTTTTAATAGAAACTATGCGATCGATTCAACCTCTGGTGGTGAATATGAGAACGTCAAAAAGAGTGTTGTGAGCAGAAATGTTTGCCGTGAAACATACACGGACAGAAAATTGTTTGCATTGAACCAAAAAAAATTTCATTTGTATTTAAACAAATAATTCCGGTTGAAATTATATTGCATTTTATTGTTTCGATAACATTTATTCAAATAAATTCAAAATAAGATTTTTTTTTGTTTTAATAAGCCACTCTTCAACTGCAACTATTGTAAAAACAACAATATTCTTTTATTAAGGAAACAATAGTTGATTTTAATTTAACATTTATTTGTTGTGTCTGTTCCCCGGGCCATGAATGCAAAAATAACTACCAACCATTCCCTCGTTTCCACCCGGACAAAAATGTAAACAATAACAAAAAAATTCTCGTTTGATTCAGCTCTAGAGGTAAGCAAGTATGCTGCAGTCACAAAATATAAACAGTTTTTCTTTTTTATCCTTTATTTTTTCCGTCGATCTTATTTTCAGTACTGAGTACCAATGCTCCCGACGCCAGGAAGGCCGATCCCACACCTGGACCCTACTTATCGACCCATCAACTCATGAACCGGAGAGATTTTATGCCTCAGAAAGGTTTCAATTGTTATTCTGTTTGTTACAAATAGGAAACAAAACATAAAAATAATCCCAAATTATTGAATAATGAAACAATAAACATATTTTTATTTCTACTGCGTATATTGTCAGTCTAAATAAAATAAATTGATTGAATCAACAAGAAATCTCTTTTAAAAACAAACATATTTTTTTGTTGACCCAGCTGCCAAATTTGACAGCTTACGTCAAAACCATAAAAGCTCTCTTGTAAATTCGAACATAATTTCTTTTTGATTTAACAATCCATGGGTTTTTAGAAACAAAGATACTGGATTGTTGAAATAATAATGATTTCTTTTTGCAGGCAAAACAAAATGAAATTCTTATTAAATTTACGTCAAATATTATTACGTTTAAAATATTTTTTTCTGCGTGTAGGAAGCGGAACACTTTTTTACTTTTCCTGATAAATTGATTCATCTGAAATGCTCCAAAACTTGATCCATAGTTGAAAAATTTAATTCTGTATCATTTTTGCAAGGATCCTGCTAGTGTTCAGGAATGTTTTTGTTAAGAAAAATTGATAATTACAATAGTGCCTTGGTGGTTATGATCTTCCGGATTTCTTGTGTGTGAGTAGTTTAGGTGCAAATCAGTTCAGATGTGTGGAAAATTGTAAAATAACACAATTACTGATGGAAATTGGCAAGATGTTCAATGAAAAATGCTTTAATTTGCGTTGGGAAAAATCCTTCTTCTGATGTAAACAAACAGTTTGGTTGACGTTTCCTCTCGAACTCGCGTGGTGCACTCTACGTTGGTGCTGCATTAAAAAGGCCTATACTTTCATCACTGAAACTTAGTTCAAGAACAACATGTGAAAAAGGCATGAAAGCTTTTTGTAAACAAACTTTTGTAGGCCCTTTTCTCGCCAACCGAATGTTCACCTACGCAAACCATCAATATCACCGGTAAGGGGAAGCTTTCTCCTTCCCGATGATGTTGTTGGTTTACGTGGGAGGCCCTTGGTTGGTGAGAAAAGGGCCTACAAAGGTTTGTTTACAAAAAGCTTGTATGCCCTTTTCACATGTGGCTCTTGAGTTGGTTTTTGATGTGTCCGGAAGGAAATTCCGGAATAGAAAGATAGCTTGATAAATACTAGAAAAGTTTCTTTATTCAAGGTCTAACGTATCATGCCTCAATACTTTTCAATTGCACCGTTTATATAGTGTTCCAGTGATTGTTATGATTCAACATTTCCCCCCTAAGGTTTTGTCATCCAGTAGGGTTTGTAACGGGCCGGAAGTTGAATCATACGCCGTCCTCATTCCAAGAGTGGAGTTCTCGGATGGGCTGCCTCCTCAATTGCATCTGTTGGTTCTGGATCGTCAATACCTTCAGATTCGGAGTCTAATGTTGGATTGGAAAAATCTGAATCCGTTAACTCCAGAATTTCTGAGTCGTCCAAAATTTGTTCCTCTAAACGCGGTGTTGTTGCAGGTTCTTCTGGAGGAATGGCTGCTGCTGGAACGGTCAATCCAAACTCGTGTACTGATGGACTGGTTTCTTGAACTCAACTCTTCAGCTAGTTAGCATGCGATTGGATCAACCTATGTCTATCTCCGAGAAAAACGTTGTAGGTAACGTTTCCTACCTTCTCGATGAACGTCGCTGGTTCCCATTGCCAAGAATTTGCTTGATAAACCTTGGCATACACAAAATCGCCATGCTGGAAACTCTTCTTAAATGCGCCCTGTTTTCTGTTGAAAGCGACGTTCTGCTTTTGTCTGTCTCTGGATGTGATGGTGTGCTTGCTAGGCTGCAGCAGCAATGAGACGGTGCGTATCGACCTACCGAACATCATTTCAGCAGGGGATTTTCCGCCAAGATCGTTGGTTGGAGTTTAGCGATATACTTGCAGGAATGTTTGCAGCGCTTCCTCAAGCGTTTCTACTCCATCCGAACGAATTTTCCGAAGGCTTCTTTTCACGGTGTCCACAAATCTTTCAGCCAAATCGTTGGATTGTGGATGCTAAGGTGGGGTGCGGATGTGGCGAATACCGAGATTGGTGCTGAATACTTGGAATTCGTGTCCTGAAAATTGAGTGCCATTGTCGGATACGATTATCTCGGGTACACCAAACGTAGCGATGGTGGCTTTCGCTGTTTGATGGTGGCTTTCGCTGTCGTCGATTTGGTTATGTGCACCTCAGGCCACTTGGAGTGCGGGTCGACCACCACCAGAAAGTAGACACCATCTACAGGTCCTGCGTAGTCGATGTGAATCTGGGACCAGGGTTTACTTGGAATGGGCCACGATTCTTGTGTCGTTTTCGTCGGAGCTTTACCAGCTGTGGGACATGGTGCGCAGCGTATGACGAATTCCTCGATCTCGTTATCCATACCGGGCCAGTATGCAAAGCTTCTTGCAATTGCCTTCATACGAACCATTCCTGGATGACCACGGTGGAATTGTTGCATGATAATTCGTCGAAACATGTTGGGAACGACGAATCTACACGGAAACAAATCCGATTCCATTTTCATGAATAAAAAATCATGAAATGAAAAAACTAGCCATCCCATGAAATCGTAGCAATGATTCATGATTTCGGGATGGAAATTCATGATTTCATAATGCAGAGGAATCAAGACCGCTAAAAGCGTTACACGTACTTGGCAAACCGTGTTCATAAACCGAACTACATAGGCATCTGCTATTCGCCTTTTGCCTTCCATTTTATACAAGGACTGATAGTCTAGTGGTCAAAGTGTGGGTTTAGTGATCTCAAGGTTCTTGGTTCGAATCCAGTTTGTTGCATTATTTTATTATTTTTACATTTTTTGGTTAAAAGTTAAACCCATGAATTTAGCTCATGATTTCAACTCGGATGATTCATGATTTTGGGAATGTTTGCTGCGTTACGCAAAAGTTGCTCATGATATCATGAATATTATTCATGGTGTATTTTCATAACATGAAAATACGCTGTGTTCATGAAATCATGAGTCATTTATCTCATTTTGGAGATCGTATTTTTTCCCGTGTATCGCCGAACATTACACTGAGCGATTCTCGTCTGTTGTAGTAGGGTTGAACTTCAGCATCGAAGAGAGTTTTGTTGGGCCAATCATCATGGATATGCTTTGCAACGGTTTGACGAGTGCTGTTTGTTGCTGTAGCTTTTCGAAGTGCTGGTGCTGGAAACTGGTACTTTTTCCGTTGTGTTTGCCAGGATGCTTACCAAATCTTCTTCCATGGTGAGTGCTGCAATCACAAATTCTTCCACTGATGGATTGGTTCGGTCGATGAGCCGGGATAACAAATCTGCACATCCAAAGTCGTTGGTGGACACATGTTGCACACAGTGTGCAGTGGATTGCCCTTTTTCGAACCGAAAATAGACAGCAATGGCTTGTGGTCGGTTAACAATGTGAAATGTCGTCCGAGCAAATACTTATGGA